CTAGATCATCTTGAACAATTATTAGTTGAAACTATAGAAAGTATATTCAGAGAACGAACTTATGGAACAATTGAACGAAATGAACTTAATAAGGAAAATCGAAGAATAAGAATAATTAGTGCAATATTTAACGCAGTAAGAGAGATTAAACGAGATATTATAAATTCTGACGAATAAAATAGAAAAAATATACAAGAAAAATATCGAATTATTAAACGCACCAGTACAATATTTAGAAACAGAGAGTAAACTAAGATGCATACAAAATACAATAGAAAAAGAACAAATTAACAATATAATTACAGAATTAAAAAAATTAATTACAATAAAAGAAATAAAAATTGAATATTTTAGAACATCGAAAGATAATTATAATGGACATTGGCTCCCATTTTTAGAAGAAACGCTAAACCGAATAAAAGAAATATTAAGTTTTTTCGAAAACGAAATAAAGTCCCCTGAATAAAATAACAATAAAATATAATTATTATATTGAAGGACAAAATTGGAATTATCAAAATTTCAAGGTCACCCTTGAAGTCAAAATGACATTTAAAGTCATTTTTGTAAATGCCCCCAATGAGCTTCAGATCTCTGAAATTATAACTCAGAATCATTTCGACAAAGAAGACATTAATATTATATCTTTTTACAAATTCACATACATTTAATCAATTATTACATTATACAACAATTCTACTTTTTTTCCGGCCGTTTCCATTATATTTTTTTTTTGTTACGATGGAAAACCCCTATCCTACAACCCTTCGGGTCAGACACCGGACACCGCAACGCCTCTCAATTCATGGGCCGGACGAAAACGGCAGCAGGACAACATCACAGACCTGAGAAAATCCACTGCCCTGCGCAGTAGCCGGCAAACCACGCAGAACAGATAAACTAGCCTCGTAAAACTGACCGACTCAAGGAGAATACCATCATTTTTTGTTAACACAATAACCTGAAAACTAAGGTTGGGCGCAGACACCGAATCCAAGGGACCAGCAAATATTTATTCAGAAATCCACGAGTACCAGATTGGCTCCCTCGCGGGTAAAACCAGAGCTTTAGGTTCAAAGTCGGGTTTCTTCGAAATGTTACTCAATCCATACTTAATCTGAGCTCAGAGGAAGGAAAATGATAGGATCAAACCGAATAAAGAGGGGAGAGAGAGACGCAGCGACGAAGAACACTACTTGAGGGGCAATTTCAACGGTGACGCAGGGTGACTACAGGATTGGCGATGGACGATTGCGGATTTACCGTTAGAATGGCATTTTTGGATTCCCCGTACATACGTGAAATCCTTAAATGCTTGTAAATAGGCTTAGGGTTCGAGAGCTTTCGACCACGTGACATTCGCGAGCCCCTGGCTCTCTCTCATCTTCGCCCCTTTATCTCTTTCAACGAGTAATTCTCGCCTAGCTCCATCAAACCGTCATGGCCTCGCCGATTGGATATCACTAATATCACTAATAATACCTGAATCCCCACCCCATGGATACTGGGGGGTTGGATATCCACCTTTGCCGAGATACCTCGATCAAAATATCCAAACGGCCGAGGACGAGTATACAACCCACGGGCTCTATCCAAAACAATAGGTGTTACATCAACATCCCTTTTGCACGTTTGGGCTTTTAACAAGCAGAAGATGAGAGAGAGAGACAGACAGAGAGAAAGAGACACTCACCCAGGAAGCTCCTTTCCAAAGGACAAAACAATCAAACGGTTCACATTGACGGCCGGAATTTGCCGCAGCAAAAGGGAGGCCGAATTGTGGGGCTGTCGGCCAATGAACTCCGATGCTTAGTGACATGCAAACGGTCGGACACATTTTATGCTTTAATCGTCATCATGACAAGTAAAAAAAAGGTTAATAAATTAAAAAGACCAAAACAAATTGATTGTAAAAATTACCTAAAAAACAAATTGATTACACTTTGGTTTCAACTGTTCTCACTCTCATATCATATCTTTGTTCTGCTCCCCAGATTGGAACCCGCCAAGTACATAAAAAATATCAGTTTCTCTGCACCAACAAACCCAAAAAAAAAACTGTTAGTAACAAAAAAAAAAGTGTTGGCTGCAATAAAATAGTTCTTTTTAATAAATAAAATCTACCCTAGGACGTTTAGAATCTGGAGGAGAAGGAGGATCAGGTCTCCGGCTTGAAGCCCCATCAGAGTCTCGTCCCTGCATGTTTTATATAACCCACAACACATTCCATAAGAGCAGCCACCAAAACCATGAAACGAACACGTGTGGTTGCAAGTCATCGAACCACGACCAGAACAAAAACCGGTACCATTGGTTCGGCTTCAGGTCCACAACATGACCGTGCGTGTCGGAAAGGAATAAAATTACAATTATAATTTTATATGCCTACTATTTAACGTATTTACAATAATATCTAAATCTATTTTGTGTAAAATTATCAACATATATACCCCTAAAGTAAATGCAAGTCAACAAAATTTTTGAAATTTCCAAAGATTTGAGTACCCGAGCCGTGCGTACTCGGGTCTCGGGAGACCTAGACCGAGACATTGTGCCCAGAAAACCCGTGGGGACATGGCTGGGACCAGATAGATACCCGACCTGCGCCCACGATACACACAAACATTTTGAGTACCTCAGCTGAAGCAACTTGTCTGCTAGTGCTGCTGTCTCTCCCCGCAGCGTCATCTGAACTCGATGCCACATTCTGAGATATAAATGGCATAATCTGTTGAAGCACACTTGATATGAAGTTCCCTTCATCCGTGACCACTGCCTCTCCATCTTGTGCACCCTCGCTTGTCTCTGTAGAGACTGCTGTGACAGAGGGATTGGTTGCATTATGAGACTCAGAGTTGGCCACTTGGTTTTGTTGCTCTTGTTGCTCACGACGCGTAAGGATCTGCTGAATCCGATTCCGAAGCTCCAACAGACCTCGAACCGTTAGGAAATTCAAGTAAAAAAAGAGATTGTTAATCAATAGGGCTCAAAGGGTTTGGACCTAAGAATGAGTTGTAATCCAAATTCCAACAAAATCAAAACCAAAAGCTACCTTCTCTTCCAGGGTTGCCCTGCGGCCTAGAGGATTCGGGAGCAGGCTGATGTATAGCGTCTAATCCCGTAGAGCTACTACGTTCACCCAAAGATACCTGCTGATATCTAGCTAGGACTGGTATGACTAATGCCACAGGATTCCGAGAAGATTCAGATACCCCTCTTGTCGGAGGGATCAAATCAGTAAAACCAGGTGCTGAAGGAGTTGACCGCCCATGGGTCGGCTGGGTAGCAGTTTCTTCTCTCTGGTGGGAGCCAGAAGATGGCGTCCACGATCCTAGAGCGGTATATTATTATAGCGGAACGATTCATATAGATCGACAGCAATAAACATGAACATTATGGATAAGGATAATAACAGGAGATCAAATGTGTGTGGAGAAACCAAGCGTAATGGTGGTACCTGTGCGTATTCTTATCTCGATATTCCTTGCAGCAGAACCAAGTGATCCACCAGAAAATGGACTAGGTTGTGCACTTCCAGCTTGAAATGCCCCCATACTCGCTCCTCCCAGTAAAGCGGGGTGTGCCTATAATTATATCATTAAAGAAAAGGTAAGGGTGAAAAGTTCCAGCAGGTAAACTGGTGTTTGTGAGTGTGCGTGTGTCCAGGCATGCGTGTGCGTGAGATAGAGAGAGAGACCGGTAAGGGATTTCGCCCTGTAGACGATATGAACACTGCAGGTCCCGCATTTACAACTGCATCATCCTGAAAGTGTGTATATGTCATAAAAATTAAATAGCAATCATCTATGCATCTGAACCTTACAGCAGCTTTCTGTGAACAAATTTAACAACATATCGATGCATCGTATGGACATAGATTAAACGTGATCATCATATCTACCCTGATACAGCAGAAATGAGGGAAACATACCGGAGTTTGCCCCAAACGTAGCATCATGGTGGTGCGACCAAGCTCAAGAAGTGAAGCACCTAAATTCTCCAACAGAAATCCAGATTGGAGCATGTTTGACTGGAACAACCTTCGAGTAGATGGATCTGTCACATTTACATGATCCTCAAGCTGCCTTGACAGATTCTGCAGGAAAGTAGGTACAAGCAAAATTCATATATCAGATGTTTGTCCTCAGCTTCCATTAATTTGGGAACCAGTGACAATCTAAGTTAATGCAGCACATCTTTACAATAATGACAAAAGTCGTGGCAATTTCCTGAACCAACAGCAGAAAAGCTAAAAAAAAAGACCGCACATGATGCCACTACAGCACTAAGTTGTATCACTCCAATAATCAATGTAAAGCAACAACTTGCCTGAAAATACAATAAACTCACAACTATTTGTCGCATTGATGCATTTACAAAAAGCTCAAGCACAGAAATTGCATCTAGAACAGATCAACGATAGTAGTCAAAAAAGAAACTAGAGCCCAGATTCAAGGGTCTTCATGGTTTCTATAAGGTTATGTAAGTCCCTAAAGTTGACAAAACTAATTCCTACACATTTGCACCCATTAGCAAAAAAGAGCATAGATGGAATTGCCTGTATTCAAACTCTGAAAAATAAGAAGCCATAAAATAACAATATATAAAAACTTACAGATAGGCATTCTGCTACTTCACCAATCAACAATTGCCTTGTCGAACGCAGCACATCAGCCAGATCAGTTGGTCTTGGAAGCCGACTCTCTCCACCAGGAAGACCGGGTTCTTGCGCATCCCCCATAGAATTTCCAGAAGCTAGCAAGTTGGTGGCGTTACCCCCTAGAAATTTCACAGCACAGATGTTACAGAATCTTCAAATATGTTTTTTCTATAAGGCCATATATGCAGACATACTCACCATTAGCAGCAAATTGTTGTCGGAGACGATTTAGATATTCAGATAAAGTTGTTAAAGAATCTGGAATTACCTACAGTAGCCAAAATAGAAATTCTCAATAACACCCGCATGACACACCATGAGCTATGAGCTATAAACATAGAAATATAAAATGAGAGATCAGGAATACAAGGAAGCACTAACCGTTGGTTGTGGAGACGTCGTAGGTGCAGAAGTCTGGTTTGTGGCATTTGTTGTGTCAGAACGCCCCCCCATGGAATCTCTTGCAGTGCTAGGCCCAGAATGTCGTGACAATCTCTCATGCAGTGATCCCTGACCAACAAAGAAACGAGTCTTGCACCTAAAAATGACTTCCTACATCAGCCAGTTTTGCGGAAAATATAGAGATTTACCATAGTATCCACTCCTTCAATACCACTTTCCACATTACCGATGCCAAGTGAACCAAGAACAGCTGAAACAATCTTCCAGACATGAAGCACGGCCCAATAAAAAGATCAGAACATCTAACCAGGTATACGTACACTTCACATATGTAGAAATAAATCTAATCAACACCAGGGAGCTCACCTGACCAAGATCTGAATAGGCTCCATCTTGCTCAGCAATATTGAAGGATCCCACCACTACTCGCGATCTTTGACTACCCTGGTTGTCACCAGCACTCGAAGCGGGATCAGCCTCTGAAAATAAGATTTATTCACTTCGAATATAGAAATATAAATTTGCATACAAGTCTATCAAGGGCAGGGCATATTAATGTGACAAAATAGAGAATTCATAGATGTGAAGACAAGTAGGAGAGAAAATAGGATTACAGTTGCAAGGGAACATACAAACCTGGATTGTTATTAGTTGAACCTTCCGGTGGAATTGGTTGTCTGACAACCAAATGAAGAGTGTGACCATCTTCAACATCTAAAATCCAAAAAAAATAATCATAAAAATATGAAGCTACTGGATTATGCAAATTTAGAAATTGACAAGCAAGCATACTGGCAACACAAGTTTGGCATTCTCATGAACATTCTACACTTCATGAAGTAGCAAGCATATTTTAAAAAGGTGAGCAGTTGTTAATATGATGGAAAGATGGAAACATACGATAAGCTGATAGTAGTTGATCATCCTTCAAAACTTTTCCACGACATATCAAGCGCTGCTGTTCCGACACAACCCCAGTAACAGAGGCAATTTGCTCCTTCAATGCAGGAACAGGAACCTGAAATGCAAAAATAAATAAGCACTAAAAAAACAAATATCGAGAATAAGAAAGAATGCACACCAAATAAACAAAAGAAAATGAGTTCTAAACTTGAAACCCTCAGTTGCACAATCGTAATTCAACTATACAACAAAAAGATTATCCTAAAAAACTACATGGATGCAATGAACTACAAACTTTACGAGTTATATAGTAGAGTTGCAAAATCATAATCATATGGCTTGTGATTAGAAAAATGAAAACTAAATCAGATATACAATAAAATATATAGGAAAAAATGAAGCAGCGAAATGTCCAAGACAAAATCGGTCATACACATTTATCTACACGTAATGTGTAAGTTTGGGAATCCAATGTCTTTATCTTTATCTCAACCATAGCACCCGGGCATTCAGATGCCTCAGTCTCGTGGACCATAATCTCATTTTTGCCATTGTGTCCCATCCTTTCAGCAGTTTTCGCAACCTGAGAAAATAAGCAAATGCAATAAGTAACATAAGCTAAGAAAAGCTTGTATAAAAGACACAAGCGAAGGAGATAACTGTTACAAAAATGTGAAACCTAATCCATGTCCCATGGCCAGCCTACCATAAAAAAACAACTGGTCAACTACTTAGTGAGTAGAGTACCCTCTTGGTATATAATAACGAGAAGTGTTCTGAATCTATCAGAGACACATCTTTCCTCCGCAACACAATGGAAGCATAGAAAAGTAACACTTAAATTAATATTACAGTAAAAAGCATCACCGCTCCACAAAACTCTTACAGAACATAAGATCACTAGTAGACATGAGTATCAATCTTTGAAAACAATAACAGTTCCGTATAAACTGTAATAGCCAATCCAAAGACTTAGATCATGTCTAAATCTCCAAAATCCAAAACATCATCAAGCAACATGGGAAGAGAAAATATATATCTGGACAATGGTAATAGTAAATTTACAAGGAAGAACTACTCTGTTTTCACTCCAAATCAACGAGAAATGATGGAGGACATGTAATAAAGTGATCGTCAATAAGCAAAGGCACGCGAACTCAACTTCGAGAACTACAACAAACGAGACATCTTCTCGCAACTTACTGAGAAATCGACCGAGAAAATCGAGAGAGATGATCGAATTCTCCTGGTTCGCGAGCCCAAAAAGAGAAAAGATTCGAACTAAAACCCTAGAAACCGAACAGCCAAAGCAAGGGTCAAGCAATCCAAATTCAACTACGCAACATCAAATCTTCAAGTCATCGATCGGAATTGAAGAGGATCAGAGAAACCTGAAGAGAGTGGTGACGATTTCGGCAGAATCTTGAACCCTAATTCTCCTCGAGGGAAAATCCACGGCGAGCAGCGTGAGCCCTGAAACCCGATGTCTGTATTCCTCGTTGGAATGGCTCCCCTTTATAGGCATCTTATCACGTGAGTAAAATAATAACATGGAAACAAATCAACATTTAAAAAAAATCAAGGATTAAAACTTAAAATGAATCTGGAGATTAATAATAAGATAAATTGAAAAATAAAAAACAAAACCACCCATAAAACACTTAATTCTTAACAATTTCTAATTTAAACCTGTAGTTATCTATTCAAATAATTTCTATCTTTATAAAATATCTAAATAAACTATTATATTTATTAATTCAAGTATTCAACTTTAATTTCAAAAATAATTTTACAATAATAAACTAATATTATATTAAAAATAAATAAATTAATATAAATGATAATTTTTTATGTTTTCTAGATGACTTGTTGATGACTAGATTTTAAACAAATATTAAATTATTTCAATGTTTTTAAATTTAAACAAATATTTATTTAGATTTATTGATACTTATATATAATTTTTTTCTCATTTAGTTAATATTTGTTTAAATAAATACCTATTTATATTTTCCTATTTAGATTTTTTTAAAAGTGAAGTTAAGTATTAGATCTGTTGATAATCAGTATTTAAAATAAATATTAAAAAAACAAAAAGAGAGAAATTGAATAAGCATCAAATGGGTTCTGAAATGACGGTCCAATTCTATGGAAATTGGAAGGGCCCAACTCAGATCTATTAAATTAGAAGTGGAGTGGACAGATAATGTGATAAAATAGGGTTCACACAAAAGATTTGGCCCAATTTATGTATAAAATCTATATCTATCTTTATATATAAAAAGTGTTAACGAGGGAGGGTGGGACACGTGTTCTCAATTTTTTTAAACCAATTCTCTACTTATTAATTATTTATCTATTAATGACCTACTCATTAATTAAACATAAATCTTTTATCTTTTTATATATAAAAGTACAGTTCTGTTAATGAGGTGATGAGGTGGGACACGTGTCCTCAATTTTTTTAAACCAATTCTCTACTTATTAATTATTTACCCATTAATTACCTACTCATTAATATAAATATAAATACACGCATATAAAATTTAAAATCAGATGTAATAAAATTTTAATCAGATTCAATATAATTTTATAACGTATTCCAAAATAAATAAATAAATAATGATGGGGTTGAATGTAGAGATGTATACTTAATTATCTAAATAATTCTCATTCAAAACTATACATACAAATACGAACATGAATACACATAAAATTTAAAACTCAGATTCAATAAATTTTAATCAAGTTCAAATAATATTAATGTCGCATTCCAAAATAAAAAATAATAATGATGGAACGATATACGTAATTGTTATCAAGCTTTAAAATATTAATGATGGGACGATATACGTAATTGTTATCAAGCTTTAAAATTATATAAGAACATGACACATGTCTATGTTTCCAGTAAGATTTTTTGAGTCAAATACATAATCAATTACCAAATAAATAATAGAAAAAACCCTATAGTTATCTGTGCATGAATCATAAAGATCGAAGAGTCAATTAACATGAACTGAATTACCAAATAAATAATAGAAAAAAAATCCTATAGTTATCTGTGCATGAATCGTAAATATCGGTGTCAATTAACATGAACTGAACATATATATATATATATATATATATATATATATATATATCTTCTGGAATCCGTCCCAAGAGCAACTCGAACAAGAAGGAGCTTGAATCGTATATCATCAGAAGCACCAACAAAATTGTCAAGGTATTCAAATACAATCACTGTTATATATTTATTTAAATTTATGTATTTATTTTGCATGTTTTTGGGTGTAACTATTAATGATACATGTATATATAGAACAAATATCCTGGAGTTGTCGATCTCCTAGGCATATGAGCGTCTAATTCCTAACACGTAAGTATTCTATATCACATTACTTTCCATATTTGTTACGGTCTTTCACCATTCCACATTTTTATTCGGATGGACACTAAACAAGTCATTTGTATACCATAAATATCGTTCGAACCTTTCGATCACATGTAATTTCTGAACTGTCGATTTGTTCTTTCTGCATAATCTGAGGGACTAACAATGTTTGGTTCGTCGAGATGAACTGAAGGTAATATTTGTTGGTTTAGTGCTCTATGATGTACTGTTTATGAACTTTATTTAGATACATTTGATGTATTGATACTTTCTATGGTTTTATGAGAGTATTTGATTCATTGCATATTCTTCCATACTAGATCTGTTATGAAATCTATATATCATTATGAATGATACTAAACTCCCTAGTCTTGTGTCGTTATGGGAATGACGACATAATAAGACTAGTATATGATGTGTGATTGATGATCATGGCGTTGATCATAGGTATTGGATGCGGTCACGATCATAGGTATTCATTGGAGAACAAAATACTGGATTGACCCGCATGAGATTGTCACATGGACTAGTGTCATGACTTGAATCTCATATGGCGGTTCCATGATTGGATCCTAAGACCTGAGATATCTACAGAATCCAGCATGAGGAGTTGTGCGCTTTGAATACGTCAAACGTCGTGTGTAACAGGAGGACTATAAAGGCATGTATCAGGCACAAAACAAATCATGTGCTGGATTGTAGATAGTCAAGGCGGGATTTGTACCTCTCGTAAAAGAGAGAGATATCGCTGGGCCCCTCGTGTGAGCGAGACTGTTGGAATGTGTGGTCGCACTATAGACGAGCATCGTCTATTTCAGACAGTCGAACTCAGTGAACGAGATAGCAGTCGAACAGATAAGGTGGCTTGTCCATGCCTTATGTTCGACATATGATATCGTGATACAAAAGGATCATCAATCGGAATCATCACTGGCGTTCGTATGATCATGAACAAATTCTATTCGAGATAGGTAGTCATAGTATCTTGCTAGAGACCGCCTATGACTTGTATATCCGGAATAGAGATTTCGGGCTATACTGCTATATCGAATGAGCCTACAGGGTCACACACGCAGGGAAGGACGAAACGTGCGAGAAAACGACGGAAAAACCAAGAGGGAAGGGTCTGGAACGGACGGACCAGAATTCCGGAACGGACGGTCCGCCGTGCCAGACCCGACGGTCCAGAATGAACTGTCCGTTCTAGAAGGTCTGGAACGAACGGTCCACTAAGGGCAGACCGTCCGTTCTACATACTGGCACGGACGGTCCGCGTGTATTTCTGGACCGTCCGTTCCGGGTTTCAGATTTTCCGAAATTAAACCGAAATTGGGGTTAAATCACTTTATAAAAGGAGATTAAAAACCCTAATTGTTGAAGAGAAAAAAGTGCCGACTTTAGAACACTTTTGACAGACCTTTGGTGAGATCCAAGAGGTTGAGAGTGTGATCGAAGTTCGTTTTTCTCAAAGCACAAATCGAATAGCAGATTCGGGTCCTAGCAGACAAGTTCTAAGCGTTGGAATCCATCCCGAGGTGTGGATACGTGTAGAGGGCGAGGTATTCTTCCCCCCTTTCGTGATCAGACGTGTTTTTCGATTGATACAGGCCCCGGATCGATTGAGGTAAGCGTTCTAACGTTTCTACGATTCAATAGCAGCATGGTTCTAGGGTTCTATAAAAATTTTGTTTTACTTCCGCTGCACAAACCCTAGAATCGATCTCTTAAGAATAGGATTCGCTTTAGAGATCCCAGGAATTCTTTCAGTGGTATCAGAGCCTGGTTGCTCTGTTTTGATTTCGTAGAACCCAATCACGCACGTTTTAGGATCTGAATTGTTTGAATCCATGTTTGCTTTGATTTCTATGCATGTTTGATGATTGAATCTAGTGTAGATTGCATGTTTCATGTTGCATAGAGTGCAGGAGTTCGATTTTGGGTGTACAGAAGAATTCAGATCAGTTTCGGGTCTGATCGGGGCCGAAAACGCGGGAAAACGTGATCTGATCACGTGACCTAACCCTAGACCGTCCGTTCTGGGTTTCCGGAACGGACGGTCCAAGGTTAACGGACAATCCTTGGGTCGAACGGGAGAACTCGGACTGCGAACCTGGACCGGACAGTATGAGTGTCAGACCGTCCGTTCCAGCATCATGGAACGTCCATTCTCACCTTATGGACCGTCCGTTCCAGCAGTTCTCACAGGCTGGTCCGTCCGTTCCACACTTGGAACGGACAGTCCGAGGTTCAGATTTCAAAATTTTTCGTTTTCGAGATCCGATTACGCAATCGTTGCTTATTCTGATCAACCGTAACTCAACTAGACATGATTTATCTTATGGATGACCCATAGTGAATGAATGCATGTAACTTAATCAAGATATGGTATATGCTTGATTGAGTGGGAGCTCCGGGATTGGGATTACATAATCGAATGGATGGTCTATTCGGATTATGAACAATCGTTGCACAGAAACCGGTTAGATCTAGAAGCTCTATGAGTAAAGCACTTGTCAAGGCCTCGATCCTACGTGTCATGGGCTATGCCAAAGCTGGGTGTGCCGTTTTATCTTGGTGAGGCAAGATGGAGAAATGGTGGTTCTCATAGCTTGAAAGTAGATGCTTGATCTAGTGTGGTTTCGAAAATCCCTTTTTCATGTAATGCTAAGTGTGTGCCTCCCATTACTAGAGCGCCTGTCAAGGCATCGATCGTCCGTAACACGGGTCATGCCAAAGCTGAGCGTGCCGGATTATCTTTGTGAGGCAGGGTAGGAAATCGTGGTTCCTACAGCTTGAATATGGTTTATCTTGGGTTAAGTTGTCAAGTTTGACTAAGTTTTGACTTGAGACTTAACGGTACAGATGAGACGAGTATGCAATGATATTTGATATCATAGTCTCATAAAGGATCTAAGAGTCATATTGGATATGATTGACATTAGATGTCTACCTAAATAGCATAAGGATAGGTGTAACAATTTATTCTTGTGTGAAATACGGATCTTAGTCCCATATGGAAAATTATTGTAGGGTTAGTTTTCTTTATGGGAATATAGTTCATCTTTGCATTTATGTTGTCATTGTTTGATGATGAACTAGC